TATAAAATCAAATAATGGTAGAAACAGTATTCTAATAATAGGAAAAATCATATCGGGCATATCTAATCAACGAAAAGTAAATATTGAGTAAACTGTTGAGTGCAACCAAAGCAATGGATCGATTAAAGGAAACGAGAGTGGAGGCAAGTGGGGATTACTTCCTGCCGTGTTGCTGTATGTGTATAAAATACAATGTGTAATTGAAACCAATGGTATTGACAATCCTTGACCCTATATCTTAAATCATCATCAGTAGCCACAACAAATTCTGATTGTAATCTTCACAAATTTATTTCAATGCATTTCTTGAATGCACTTCATTCAATTTGATTGTATTCTATAAAAATAAAGCAAAAACAAAAAACCTCATACGAACGTATACAAAATAATTTTTACACCTGTGTAATTAATGAAAAATATATTTAAGAAGAGAACACTTTCGAAATGTGAGAAAACGTCCAACTGACCAAATAAGAATTTGTTTTAATTATCACTGATATTCTGAACTAATAAAGCAAGCAAGTAAATATGTATTTTATTGTTCACGTTTAGTATTTCAACCCTGCAAATTCTATGTTGTTCTTCTCGTGATTAAAGCATCTCGCTCACTTAAAACCCTCATAGAGAAACTGAGTTTATAACAGCATCTTAAAAGATGTTTCTCTAAGGTGATTCTTACTATAGCACCAATTTTATCATGACAAGATACAGTACTAGCCGTACAATGTAAAAATTAAAAATGGTTCCTCTTTACGTATAATTCATTAGTACATTCAACAGTAAGCAAAATAAGAAATGTTGATTGTTGATTTTAATTCCTCAATAAAATGAAATTATTGTAATTATTGTAATTTTGTTAAGTTACTATTGTGAAATACTAAGCAAAAGGGGTCTAAAAAATGCCTGCAGAGCATGATACAGATTCCTAGGTTTTCATTTTTAAAAATATACTATCTGTGTTGAAATCCATATTATACCTCAATTACAGAACAGCACTAATTATTTTAACATCAAGTTTCATGGAATACAGATTTTTTACAACAAAAAATTCTTATATTAATAATCCAGCCAATATAAGCGCTTTATGAAAAATGATAGAGAAACTGTGAGAAAAATCTTTTCTTGTAATTTAAAGCCCTGTTCAGACTATCAAATTTTATTTGACAAAAACATGTGACATGCCTAAATATGGTCATGATGACATCACATCATCACCATATACAGGCACATCATGACTATATATGGGCATACAAAAGGAAATTTGATAATCTGGACAAATATACAAAGCAATTCAAATGTTGAATTTATTTTTTTAGCATAACACACAGACATTATACTTCTAATAACTGTATTCTACACCTTTTTTCTTCTAGTATTTGACATTGTGGCATTTGCCATGCACTGCACACAAGGGGGGTTATAAATCTGCCATAAAAATGGAATATCCCATAATTTACAGTACAATTATAAATTGTAATACAAATTGTTTACTGAATGACAATAAAGTTTGATTAGTGTGTCTGTGGGTTTACGTGTTGTTAATTAATGTTTGTGTATAAAGTAACGTAATGAGTTGTATAAAAGTTTTTGTGTTATTAGGCATGGTCACTGGTTCATTTGATTGACTAGTCACCTGCTAAGCCAATAAAATTATGACGACAATTGTGACTTATGGCCTTCATATATACAATATAAAAAAGTAAAAATGATATTAAAAAATATAAAAAAAACAGAAACTCAATTCTCTTGATTGATTAAAATATTCATTTGAATTAATTCACATTTAAATATCAAACGAAAACAATCATAGTTAATGACTATAATAAGTCCGCAACTATCCAGACATTTATAATCTACTTTCCAATTTCATTTACCTGATACAAAGACATTCAGACCTGGTCATGACCATATATGAATTTATCTACAACTGAATTGTAGATAAATGATGTTGTTCAACTGTTAAGAATTAGCAGGGGTCCCAAGTAGGAGATCTGTTTAAATGAGGATTTTTAACACATCAAATTGTATTTAGCTCTGCATGGTGATACCAAAGAATATAAATAGCAGAAGAATGAGCTCTTCACGTAGTTTGCATTAAATTTGATGGAACGTCCGCCCTCTCTAGAATGGAGGAAAATTATTTCATGGAGTGGAGAAACTAATGAAAACAAACAAATCAGAGAGCAATCCAACCAATCAAAGATATAGCGCCGTCACTCAGATGGAGGAAAATTGCTCTCATGGACAGCCTCATGGGGTGTTACACTGTATCGCGAACTGCTCTATCTTTTGCTATTTATTATCTTTGGTGATACCCATCACCGCAGAATTACTGTATGTGAGGCAACTGATAATACAGTACAGTAAAAATATGCAAATATTATGAATTTCTGGGAGATTCTTGCTTGCATGAGTGAGTGTGGAAGGCCGTCCCGATTTCTGGGCGACTCCTGTGACTTCTGGGAGAATTGAGACCCCTGAATTAGGTTTTACAATGAAAATCCTAATACAGAATGACAGAAAAAGAACTAAACTATTGCAATACAAAACATTTCACAATGCCACCTCTCAGCTAAAAACACGCAAATTCTCAAAGAATTCTACCATAAACAGCTTCACTACTACGGTATTTTTCTTTTCACAACATGTAATTCTTGGATCAGTGAACCACTGAGCATGATTAAAACTTCTGTAAACCAGCATAGCGTGGAACTTTATGATTATTATTATTATTATGACACTCACTTACCAGGCGCAAGTTTCAACACCTAATGATCTTTAAAACTTTTAATCTGTCAAGGCAAACTCTCTTTAACAACACACTGACAAATGCATAGTTGCTGGATGAAATTCTTGCATATTTACTCCTGACATATTTTTCATCCACTTGCATAAGATTATTCCAAACATTATTATCACTATTTTCTCCTATCTGCTTCAAAACTTTTAATTATTGGGCATGATCTACTTTCCCTTCATTCGTCCTTTCTCAGCTGTGATGGAAACGTGATGACCATTAACTCTTCTCCACAATCGCAGACAATTGAACTGTGGTCGATGGCTATGATTTGACTGACAGGTAGATAGGTACCACCGAGGTCTACTTTGCGTAGCGGCTCACCTGACAACACATCCCATACAACAAGGCAACCCTTTAATTAAAATACGCAAAAGTATTAATTTTTTTAAATGTTATGCCCTATGTACTTCCTAAATCCACACAACAAAAGGAATATTTCAAATTTGTATTAGTTCTTCAATGGAAAATTTACTGAAAAAAGAATTGAAAATTCCACATTTACCTTGCCTCCTGTCACCATTATTTTATCTGCTAAAGTGATGACACTGCTTCCACAACCAGTATCCTATTGAAAATAACACATGTAACATAACCCTTAAGATTGTGGACAATGATTACTGTCACAATAATTTCTACTATATGAGGCTAGCCATCCCAAAACCAGTGCACTGTCCCTAAATGTTAAACTGAGTAACTAGCATAAGAATTAAGAATATGGCAGTATTGTATACTTTAGTACAGAGAAAACCGTAATACTTTTACCCATAACTTTGGCAATAATAAGTTGAATCCTGTAAAAAAAAACCTATCATTTAAAAGCTTATAATGTGGAGAATATGAATATATTAAAAAGGTCAATTTTCTTGTTTTGGTCACCGATGATGGTTTTGGCCATATTCTGAAAGTGTCAACCGTTCGAAACACCTCTAACAAATGATCATCTCTTACCAGTTGTATCATGTGTATTAAGCGACCCCGAGTTGTTTTCTTCCAAACGCATAATTTATCATCCGAGCCAATGCTGACTATATAATCGTCAGAGCAGCAGACAGACAGGACTGAACTCACATGGCCATTAAGAACATAAATAGGATCACACTTCAACAGATCCCATACGCGTACCGTACCATCAGCCGATCCACTGGCAATGGTGTGTGAGCATGTCTGAATCACAAAAGGAAAAACACCAATAAATGATATCAATAATCAAGACCAGCCTGCTGTGTCTAAAAATAGAGAGCTTTCGATTTGTGCGATGACGCAACCCTAAAAAAGGTTCACTCATGCATGACCGTCCTAAGTTCTTTGCACATCAATTTGGTCAAATTGTGTCGTAGAATCCACATGATGGGCAGAACTTAACGCTTTCGTATGCGCAGATGAAACATTAGTGATGTCATTACGTTCTAGATTCTACCGCGTTGTGCATTCGAAAGCTCCCTTACCTTTAGTGATTCTTACCTTTAGTGATTTAAAGAGGCATTGAGCTCAAAGCTCGTAATAGTTGCCTCCTCTCCTTTTGTTGAAGTTGTGAATGTCGAGGTTGTTTTTGAAAGCATTTGTGTTTGTGCTGTTAATAACATGTGTTCCAGGAATTTAGGACTCTGATATCAAAGAAGGTATCTCTCCTGGCTATTTTATATCTGGGTTTGGATAGTGTGAGAGAATGTCCTTTAGTTGTGTAGCCCCGTGGACATTGTCTTAATGTGAAAAAGGAGTTTGACTCAATGTTCTCTATACCATAGATGATTTTAAACATTATTTTAAGATTGGCCAAGCACCAAGGCACGGCCTCCGATAACTACAGCCATAATATTGATGCTGGTTCAAGGCATTCCTCCCCTAGGGTTTGGTAAACTTAGATAACTGTAGTTCCAGTATACACTTTAAAAAAATCTATTCCGATGGTCTGGTTCATTTCAGTCCCTATCGTGGAATGAAGTGAACATGAAACTACTAAGCGCCATTCTACAGCTGCTGCAGTATTCACACACACTCATTAAAGCATCCACTTCAATTAAGAGTTCACTAACCTGAAGAAAGTGACCGAATCATTTGCTGAAACCGCTGCTAAGGTAAGCAACTAATTGGTTCAACAAAACAGATAATTTTCTACTATATTTATGGAACTAGACGAAATTCTTTGATAAAATTCTTTTCATAATTGATTTCATGCTACAAGGGGGAAATAACCTGTTGTTATATGCTATCCACACCATCAAGATGTATTGTATGTGCCAAATATGGTTGTAATATGTCATCATCTAGCCCACAGATGGGTAATTCAAATAGCTTAATTTGATAATATAAATAATATAAAATATGAAAACACAAATCAATATATGTTAATTTGGTTTACCTTGTCTACTGTCACCATAGTTACTGCCCCTGTATGTCCTCTAAGTGTTGATAAATATAAACAATCCTCTAGACGAAAAACCTATAGATAAATATAAGAAAAGGAGTTATAAAACTATATACGAGATGAATAAATCTATATACAATAAGGGTGGAGCATAATGACTAGCATCACCTCTGGTCCTTATTGTCTCCACCATCATCATCACCTACAGCATCACCATCATCATCTTCAAAATCATCCCAATCATAATTATAATCAACATCATCATTATAATTATCATAATCATAATTATCATCAATAACATCAACATCATCATAATCCACATCATCTATATCTTTATCATTATCACTATAACCAACAACATCAACATCAACATCATCATCATCATCATCATTATAATCATATACAGCTTCATAATTTACATTAACATCATCAACACAACATCATTTAGTTTTAATCATATATCTTCACTAGAAAAAATATATGGTGATTACCTTAAGTGTATGATCATCACTGGCAGTGACCACTTGACCATTCAAGATGACCACTTCATTGATTAGCTGCTGGTGAGCTCGCATTTGACAAACCCGATGACATTCCCATGACCCAGAAAAATATTCATTCTCTATAAAATGACGATTAAATGACCCTGCAATAAAAAAGGTTAGACTGTGTCAAAATATTTAGAGTAATAATTAAATGATTGATTGGTTTATTGATTATTTCACTCATTGATAGACAGGCTTCATTGTCACTGACAGTACTTACCTAAATTTTCATATGAATCTGTGAAATCTTGTACGTACGTTGAATTGCTGTTGACAAGGTGTAAAAAATCTAATGTCCCATCTAAACGAGCTACTACAAGCCTACAATGAAGATAATTAAAGTGAAAATAGATTTAGACAAAAAAGTTATACTGACAGTAGTATTGTTATTATTACTCCTCTTTATTGAGTTCAGAGGTCATAACTATAGTCATACAGTATCCTCAGATCCACATTTGGCAGTTAACTCCATGCTGTTGAGTGCAGCTTTTTTTCCCTTTTCTTTATATTTAGATTATTAATAATAAGTGGAATTAGAAGTGGAATTATTTACATGGATATGAGAATAACAAATTAGAATTATTCCCTTTAAACTATACGATTTGATAAGAAAAACAAATTTCAACTTACATGTTAGCATATATACACATAGCTGAGACCCCAGATGATGAGGATTCAAAATAACAAAGTAAAGTACCATTACCAGCATCCCATATCTAATGAAAAGATAAAGCAAATCAAAGGATAAATAGGACAGAGAATATTGGTGAAAAACACATTTTAAGAATAATAATATCTGTATTGAGTTACTATATTTGAATTAGTTTACTTTAATTATTGCATTAGCAAGATATTAGCTTTAAATTATCATAAAAATGGGTTCCCCCTAGCATTTAAAAAAATTAAACCTAGGAATTTGAGTTAGAAAACAAGTACAGTACCATTATCATTACGCCACAATTGCCTAATCTTCTTATAGAAACCTCAATATAGATTATGTAAATATACAGCATGATCTTAAGCCTACTGGTTAATAATATTTTAGCAGAGTTATACAAAAGTTTACATTCTTCCTAGCTTACCTCCACTCTACCATTTCCACAACCTGCAGCAATCACTGTATCATTACAAGCTAAGCACCAGAGTGGTGGCACCTCTTGTAGTGCCAATGGCCCACCACACCCCCCTCGTTCAGAGAAATGTTCATGTTCTTTTTCTTGATCCATGAATCTTACATTCTGAGGTGACCTCAGAGGCTGACTGAAGGTATCTATTTTTAAAACACCAGTAGAACGACTACGGCTGTGTCCCGGAACAAAACCTGGATTTGTTTGAGGCTGTTGTGAGGCGTAGGTTCCGTATATACTGGATGGCATATTATGTTGTTGTGGAAATCCTTTGGAGGCCATGTGTTTGGGGCGGGTTGGATGGGATTCATAGTATGAATGGAATCTTTGGTTAAAGCTATAGCCGCCAGATGAAGAGTACTGTGATGAAGCATCTCCACCTGTGCTGGGGTGCCCAGTAGCTGACGGACAATGATGTGATTTAGCATCTCGATATTGAGAGGCTAATTCTGAAGACTGATTGACAGGATCTTCTGATTTTGACGACTCCCCAAAATTGGTTTGGATGCTGTCTGTCAGGTCAGGCTGGTTGTCCAGAACATCTTTCCAAGTTGGACCTAAACTAGTCTGCATATCTGGCGCAGACGGAATTCGTTTTCTTGGTATTCGAGTACTACTTAAGCTAGGGGTTTGGTATGGTTTGTCTTGGTAGTCATTGTAGCATGGACAAGTAGAACCCACTCGATCTTTTGGCTTGCTGCAAGAGAAAACATAAAACGTTCTAATCGTTACAAACTAAATCTACGGAAGCCTGTGACATGACACCAAATCACAGATAAGCAGAGCTCATTTTAAGCAAATTTAAGCTTAATCCACAATTTTGAGTTTTATTTAACAAATATATGTGATATGAACATATATGGTTATGACATAACATTACCATGTCCATATTTAGGTAAATCTGAGATATTTGTTACATATAACTGGAGAGTGTGGGCAGAGCTTAATTTAACATACTGATGACTGATGTTATTAAATGTCTTTACCTCTTCCTCTCAATGACCAACATGCAGTCACCAGTGGCAGGATCCCATCTCCTGATCTCACCAGATAAACAAGAGCTAAAAATCCATCCAGCTTCACTCACAATGCATTCCACATCCTGAATTACAATGCACATGTTATAAGTGATCAGTGATTCTATATTCATTGACAATTTGAGAAAATAAATAAGAAACAGAAATAAAAAGCTTATAAATGTATAAATTGGTATTTTATAATAATGTTACTGTATGTAAAGTATATAAGCGTTACCTGCTTATGACCTCGAAGAACCAACGGCACCGACTCATTAGCATTCTGCACCGATCGAATGATGTCATCATGGCGGCATTTCTTGTAGCGTTGTCTCCGTAAGCGTTTCAATGACACACACTTACACAGCAGCAGGATGAGGATAACGAGAGAGGCACCACTGGCAACGCCTAGTGACATTGTGACATAATAGTCCCACTTGGATTCCTGCAGAAGCTTGTAGGCCCGTGCATTTACTTGGTAATCAGTCAGGTAGTCTTGATCTATATCTGGGGTTTGTATGCCGTCTGATAGGTGCTCGTAGCCATCGGATCTCATTGCAATTGCTTCTTTAGGATCGATGTTTATGAAAAGGTGGTACGGTGGTAGTAAACTGATGTACCTAAAATGGATACAAAGTGGAAATAGTGAAGAAGTTCAACTTATTCCAAGTCTTACAATTAATCTATTTCTATTGGATATTTTTTCTGTGTTATGTCATTTGCCTATGTTATCCATTACTGATATTACTTTCCTTTGTTTTGAAAATGTCATGAGGACATTTTTTAGCGCTATAATGCCTACCATTGTGAATGGTAAGTTGAATAAATGATTGGACTTATTGATCCAATATATTATATATTATATATTATAGGTTGATCAATAAAAAATTCAATAGAAAATAAATTTATTATTTTGTTCCATTAAACAGAACTTTATAAGCTGATTTATTCAGAGACTATGGTTTGGAAATTCATTCACCCATACATGGAACCATTATATCTTCTTTGTTTGTACATGGTATGATTAACAAAGTAAATATCTAAATAAATTGAATATGACACAATATCTTTTTTCTCTTTAAAAAAATGACGGTGTTATCTTTTACCTTCCTCTGAGTGTTCTGTTGTAGAATCCAAAAAGTGTAGGCCAATGAAGTGGTGATAAGTCGTCATAGTAATCTCTCAAAAACAAACCCTGAGTTTGACTGCCCTCGTGTGATTTACCCAGTGATATATCCTTTCGATCCAAAGTCCCTTTTAATGCAACCTGTCCGTCATGTCTTAGGATTTCCTGGTTGGATTTCTGAGCAGAACTTTCGACATCACCTTTCAGGGGAGAGGCATTTTGTCGTAATGTATCGTTGGTGTGATTTTCTGTCAGATGATCAACAAGGCCAGACTTGTAAACAAACAGACTAGTGAATATTATCCACAAAACAGTACTGACCTGGAGAAAATTACAAATAAATTATCATTGTTAAAAAGTAACAATTGTCACAAAAACATACAGATGAATCAACATGGTGGCAAAGCAGCCTATTTTAATATGGGAAGTGCAGTCTTAAAAATGTAGTATTATAAAGCTATTTGCCTTACCATGATTAGTCGTTGTACAACACGTGTGCTGGCCCAGAAATAAACTAGCCTTAGTCTCTTTGGTACCTTGCGGAACAGGGGTGTAGCTGGGGGTAAACGTGCCTGCAGCATCCGCTGCTTGGTCGGTGACATCATGTTGATGGAGTCGGGCACTGACATAGTGCGTGAAATGCTTCGTGGAGTCATGGCAGCAGACGGTGCATGTAGCTGATCTTGTATGCTACTCTTGTGGAGATCAGATAGCTTTTAAAAAATAAGATTCATGAGCACATTGTAAAATATCAAGTTGACCATACGTTGTAAAAGAGATATCTAGGATATAAAAACACTTTCCAGACAGTCAGTCAAACTTAACAGCTGACCATCAGAACAGGGCCAAGTGTATGAACATCCAACAAGCACATGTCTTGTCCAACAAATGCATACGTTTGCTTATGTTTTAACACTGTCATTTTGCAACAATTTTATTTTATTTTTTATTTTATTTCATTTCACAATCAACAGCGGGGAGCCCGCCACTTACAGAATTGAATAAATATCCAATAGAAAGGTCCATTAAAAGTCTAATGTAACTATATGAACTATCACCTATTTTTTCTCCTCATCAGCCAGCAAGTTTCTCAATGAACAAGTATTGGAATTATCACAATCTGGTTTGTATTATTGTTAACGTAACTTTCTCCATGTTAGAAAAGACAGACATGTATATGAACTCCTTTTGAAACAAGCCTTCAGGCCTAATTGCTTATCCTCTGCATTCCAAGTTTACTTTATTTAAGGGTGGGGTGGATTTATGGAAGTTTTTCCAACTTTGTTTTGTATTATTTTTCTCACTATGATCATTATTTGTCTCTTCTTTGTAATGATTTCAAGGAAAGCAATAAATATTACTTACTATAGACAATCAAATATATATTTGTTTATACAATTGTATTTTATTTCATTTTTAATTTACCTCCATTCGTCGAATATCAATTGAAAGCACAGTTACAAAGAAGAACATTTGAAGAAAAAAATCAGTTAAGAGTCCAACAACTGCAAATACACAGAACTCCTGCAGGGAAAAATAAAAAATCATCATTAAAATAAAATAATGATCATTCATGTCATCACAATCATTATCATGTTATTTAGCCTTGTTAACCATTAATTGTATTATTACAATTCTTGACTGTATTCTGGCATAAGTTTCATGATAACTTAACAGTCATCATTTCATCATAACTAATTTCTAACACTTCTCTCTATACTCTCTTAAAACAAACCTGAATAGCTGGTACAAAGGTGAAATATCCCATTAAAATAATCAACAATTCTGTGAGAAGGTTTTTAGTGATTGACCAGCTTTCTTTCTCAAGTCCTAGAAAAAACAAAATGAACATATAAATTGATTCCTCATCTGATCTTCTGGAAAATTGAAAAAAAACCAAAAAAACACTGACTTGCATTACAAACAAAAGAATATAGTATATTACATAAATATATCATGAATATTTAAATACTGTCATATATATATTCAATGGATGGTACCGGTTCTTGTAAACTATTTCCTGACCTTGGGCAATCCTTTTCTTGACCTCAAGATGGACCGGTGTGGAAACTACTGATTTTGTCAGCACCAATATGTTCTCCAAACCAAGAATAATGACCAAATATGGAAATATTTCTCTAAAGAAAGAAAATTCAAATGAAATAATTTAAAACAATGTAAAATATATTTATATTTTAACTTCATTAACATCCAATTAAATTAAATGATAGTTTATTTATTTATTTCCAAACAGCAAAAAATCGCCACTTACAGGATGGACATAAAATATATAATAGTGAGGAAAACTTTTAAATTTCATATTTAAAACCAATCTCTGTATACATTAAAATAGAATTTGGGGGGGTCATAAGTTGACCAATGCCAGTAATAAAAACCCGCACTCACCCTCCATGTAGTGTTGGCGTCAATCCAAAAAATAAACAGATGCCAACAGACATGGCCAAAGATGAAATAACTTGAAAGACAGCACTGAATGCCAGTCCCCATTTCGACTTCACCATCTCAATCTTACCTGAAAGTTAAATCAGGAAATAAATACCACTCTCAAATGGCATAGTGAATTCAGAATAACAAAATATATGATATAATATATTAAAAACAAGTAGGTATAAACTACTGTAGCCTCACATAATAGACTGATGCAACTTATGACTTGGCAGTGTCTATTAAAATGGTTAAATTCTGATATTGTTTTCAGACAATTAAGAAGTATGGTTAAAGCATCTAGGTACTCAAAATTCAGTCCTTATTAAAGCTTCATGACTTTATTTTATTGCACAAACTGAACTGCTTTATACTATATTACTTTCTCTTTTAGATTTTATGTTATTTATTATATAAATACTGGTCTCCCTCCAATTAAAGACCAATTCTGGTCTTTAGCAGCTTTGGTCTATAAACAGAAAAATAAAGATAAATGACATTTGCCAATTTGGGACCACAAAAAAGTGGTCGTTAATTAGAGATGGTCTTTAATTGGAGGTGGTCTTTAATTGGAGGTGGTCTTTAATTAGAGGGAGACCTGTATAAGACATCATTTGTTAATTTGGGACCACAAAAAAAGTGGTCTTTATTGGAGGTGGTCTTTAAATGGAAATGGTCTTTAATTGGAGGGCCCTTTCATAAGATGGAGACCTGTATACATATTTATACAGTCTAAGAAATATAAATTGTATTATAAATATGTTACTCAATTGTTATTTTTATTCCAATGTTTAAAGATAAAGATATTCTGTAGTATCTGTAGTGTTTATTGATCAATATGTACACTAAAATACTGATTAAAATACATAATACTTACTGACAGAAAAATATATATACAGGAAAAGTAAACAATATACAAAAATGAGTGGTGAAACCTCAACTATATTCCGTTGTTCCTACAATCAAAATTTTTCAAATATTATGGTACATTTAGTATTAATGATATGGTAGCAATATTAAAAAAAACATTTTAGATATAATACAATAAAAATTATAAAAATAAAATAAATAACATTAAAATGTTAACTAAACAAGAATAATAAACATTGCAAATATATTTACAATAATAATAAGATAATTATAATGAATGACAATATTAATATTATGAAAATAATTACTATAAAGAATGAATAAAAAACAATACAAATGAATGACAATTAAATTAATATTCTTAAAATGTTAAACAATAATAATAACAACAAAGCATCCTTAGTAGCTAAAGCGACCACAATGTTCTTTCTTCAACACAAGGCCCTGTATAATTTATAGACTATCTACATTTTTATCACTATTAATTATAGTTTTGTAGCTTCTAGATTCTATTTCATATGGCAACATAATAAGTATCAAACAGTGAATCATTACAATGCCCAAATGCGCTAAGACATGAAGACCACTATACACATTCTACTATTACACACTAAACTCACCTTAAAATATAAATGTTTTATCTTGGGTGGTTCTGGGTTATTTAGTAACTCTGATCCAAACTTTTGATGCAGATGAGCCTTTAAATCTAATATAAAACTTTCGGAGAAAAGGCAACAATGAACATTAAAAACTTCTACTAATATGTCACTTATTTTCGTAAAGAACCATCAGCAATGTCCCATTGAATGGTTTGATATGAACTGAGTGAAATTAAATAAACATCATTAATATGAATTTTTAACCACATAAACCAGTGACAATGTCCATTTACAGTAGATAGTTTTTATGACAAATGAGTGAAACTCAGTAACATGATGAATATAAAGAAAATAAAATATCAAATGGTGACAATGTCACTTTAAACGTACTTGGAAGTTAAATGAAGTAAAATATAAAGATGAAAATAAAAGAATATCACTCTTAAAAGAAACTGGGAAGGATTTTTTTTAAATAGAAGGAATTCTAAAAAAGAGAATCTGGTGAGGTGTGGAGGGAGTGCTTACCTTTCATTGTATGATTTTAAGACTAAAGTGACAGCATAGGTAATGAGTCTCTGTCTACTGCGTATATAAAACCTATGAATACCACTGAATTTGCCTGGTATACCAAATAACACATCTACAATACAAGATGTAAGAAAAAGATAATAATAAATAGTGATATCACAGCTGCAGTTTGTGCATTAATTCCGATTAGGTAATTTTGTTATATTTGTTAAGATGTTTAGTAGTAATATATTTCTTTAGTTTTCTCTTTTTTATATATTTTTTTAGTTATTTTCATTACATATCAGTTGTTAACTTTTAGACACAATGTCTCATTGACTTTTTTCAAGTAATAAATTGTAAATCTGCAATTACTACCCAGTAGTCTATCAGTCCCAGTAGCGAATTCAAGGGAATCAAATTAACATTTGTCAAAATTATTTTTTAAAATGGAGAAAAAAAAAAGTATATTCAAATTTAAGTCTGAGAGTGCCATTTCCAGCCATATAGAGATGCCATACTCATAGATTTTTTTTACCTCAGCCCCACCATGGTTGGGCTGATCTAAACCCTCCATCTGTGAAAGCCCCTCCCTGGCCCCCCTCTCTTTTTCAAATTCCTAAATTTGCCACTAGGTCCATTTTTAAGCAACACCCTGTTTGCTAATTAATACACACCTTTAATATTTGTTGTCTCACTTGATTTCTTCTTAAGATGGCTGTATATAGTCTCAACTAGATCCTCGTCCTCTGAGAACACCTTCATGTCGTTTTTCCACAGAGCAGCAGGTGAGACGATAAGACATCCATGTTCAGGTAGAACACCAGAAAATTCAGATGGATCATTAACATCGAGAACATACAAACAGAATGACTGTATAGCCATGCTGTAAAGAAAAGACAGTTCCAAACATTTAAATATTTATTATATATCAAAATCACTTTATTTAAAAAAAAAACATATTAAACCTAGGTTGTGACCTTATAACGAGAACATATATGGTAAATGAACAAAAAAAAAAAAAAACAATTACAAAAGTAAATGACATTAGAAAAAAAGTAACTGTGTGTATAAACATTTAAATATAGAAAATTGGTATTTAAATCAGTTATCAGTTATCAGTTGTGGCAATTTTAGTACTTCTGTTTTTAAGTACAGTATTTTAAACTAAAGTCAATGACATATATGTAACAGACGTTAGATATCATCACAGTTCATACAAAATCCAAGCACCAAGCATGAGCCAACACAAGATTTACGCAGCAAGTGAATACATTCTTACTTGGGCAAGACTTTTTCTTATACCTTGTTTAGTGAATTTTTGGCCTATTAGCGCACCCGCCGCCACGAAAAAAAAAAAAAAAATTAAGCTATTTTTTTTACGCCTTAAAATCTCCAAAAATAAGATATGTATATTTCTTTTCAATCATATACAGTAAATGTTTACATTCACTAGTAAAATTTTATTTTTATTTTCCCCTCTGTCTAGATTTTTTGGCAAAACTATTTGCTAAATGAAAAACCAAAATTTTGTTTTTATTTTTATTCCGCCCTTCCCTGATGATCTTTAAAGAAATGAGTTTTGTGAAAACAAGGTATAAAAAAAATGTCTTGCCTTACCCTGATTTGTCTTGGAATTTACTGATATCACTGACAAGATTGAATGCTCGGGATAATGGTGCACGGAAGGCATCTTCGGCTGTTAAATCACCATGCCACGGGGACACCTTAGCCCTGACAACAAACTGCTGAATAAAGGCGAATGGTGCACCAACAAACTACAAAATGGAAGAAAAGCGATTTAGTAATCAAGTAAAAAAAACCCCTTCAATTTTTCCAACAGTGCCATCAAAATTTACACTACTGTAATTTGGATTTTGAGCAGACTTTTATTTAATGAAAAATTAGCAGTAGTAATTGAACCCATGACCCAGTTACACAGTAAGTTGAGCAACTTGGGCAAGACAAGTGACAGAGCGGTAAGGTAGTTGCACTGCTAACTACAACCTTAACGTCAGCGCTGGTTCGAGCTGCTCCTCGCTCAGGGTTCAGTTGTAGAACCAAGCTTCTCAGATAAGGACTTAAGATGGAGGTCCAGTGTATACATCTAGCTCGTGTGTACTTAAGATTGTATCATTTGCAATTGCAATATTAAGCATTGCATCTTCTGGAAGAGTAGGGGGTTACCCCGATTCTGTGGTTCATTTCATCCTCTGTTGTAGTGGAACAATGTGAACATGTAGCTACTAAAAGCGCCTCTTTACGATGGCTATGTAATCACAGACCACGTCGATACGCAATTTAGAACAATGACGCTGCGAGTTATGGGTTATTCTCCCACCTTTACCCGCAGTGTTATAAATCCCTAATATGACCTATCATTCTTACCCATCTAGGCTTGACTTGAGGGTCATCATTAGAATCATCTTCTGGCACCAGCGTATCCTGAGGGTGCTGAGGTATGCTAAAGCCTTCAGCTGGCGTTTTGTACACATGAGGGGCATTGCTTGCAATTGGCATCTTAACCATTGGTGATCTAGAAGAGATCACATAAAGAGTGAAAAAAAGAAGTTTTTGAGAAACTGATGTTTTAATAGGACATATAGTCCAACTTCCTTCTTCCAAACCTCCAAGCACTGCTTTTACATCACTTTACCCTCAGTTTCAATGTTACTAGGTAGTTTTTCGCCGCACGACATTAACCTTAACATGGTGTTTTCTAGCTCATGTTGCTTGGCGGGCCGCACACACAGTGTTTTTAATTCATTTTCGCAGGCTGCAAAAAAATCGCTGTCGGGCTGCACTTTGCCCACCTGTGCACTAGAAAATAGAAGTAAAACAGTATTACTGTATACTTACGCACAGAGACAAATCACAGCCCCCACAGTCAGGATGATGGCCAAAGGGTGGCTGGAACAGAAAAGACCATGTCTATAGTAGGCTCTAGCAACCAGATCTTGTACATGTTGCATTGCCATTATCAACAATCCCACAACCGAATACTCATCTTCAACTTCAAACAAGTTCTCGGACGTCTGCTTATTGTAATTACTGCAATCATCTGAAAAATAATAATATTAAATATTTTTAAAGCACACACCTCCACCCGTTATTTGGGTGCTCAAGATGCGGTCTCTTAAAACGTCCTTTTTAAAAAAAATTTTCCTTATGCTGTCTTTTCATTCAGGATAGTTCATAGGTTAGTTTTTTCTTTTCTATTTCATATTCTTTAAGCGCTTTGAGACAACTTATTAATTGTCTAAACGCTATACAAGTCCATTTCCATTACAAAATCTTTCCTTAAAATATTTATTCTTAACTCTGATGATGAAGAGGATAGAAGAGGACGATAATGGATGGTAAGTTAATATAATCACAATATTATAAGATAATTACTGTTATAAAATTACACTTTGATAAATAAAAATTTTTTTAAAGTATATACTCTCAAAATGTTTGTCAACATACTATATAAACATTTATAAAATGAATGCGTCACCAAAATCCAAACACTAAAGCGCTGTCCAGACTATCAAATTTTCCTTGACAAAAAAAAACTGTTGCGTGCCCATATATAGTCATGATGCTCCTATATATGGTCATGATGTGATGTCATCATGACCATATTTAGGCGACATTTACTTTTTCAAAGAAAATTTGATAATCTGGACCTCCTTACTTAAGAAACTTTAACTTTCTTTGTCAGTATAAAGTCAGAATACATACGATAAGCCATCCACTGTTCAAACACTTCATCGTCGCAGAATTTTTCAAAATACAAATAATCCTTATTTTTATTCAAATCTGCACGTTTGAAAAAGCTATAATTGATCATATGTGACGCCGGCCTTCAAAACCTTAAAACACGTCCATCCATGATCATGATGTGTGAAAACTTCCACAATAAGTATTTCTTTTACAAGCAATACTTTCAACACGCGAATGAAGCGTGGCTTTTACCCGCATATCATGATCAAAAGTGTAATGATACTGTCTAATTTCAGAAACATACCTGTACCAACATACCAGCATTTGCTTAATGGCTACAAACATTAAAATCACCTGCAACTTACAAGGTGCTTGGATTCTTGATGGTAAGCAGAATTCATTACCACTAATTTAATCACATTATGAGGCAATAATACTGTAATATTAAAGATTTCTTTCAGTTCCTAGATACAAAGGAATCAATATTAGTGTCCAACAGATTTGTGCCTTCAGTAACAAAGCTTGTCAAAAATACTTCAAATTTTAAAGTACATGGTTCTACACTTCCCTAATTTCCCATTTAAAATAAAACCTCTCTCAAATCTCAGACCCCTTTTATTCGAGACCACTTTTCTCAAAAAAACCAATTAACAATATTCAAAGCTAACCCTTTAATTGCAGACCGAGCAAATACCTGTAAAAACATTTTTAAAATCAAGATCAGAACTTTAGGCATAATGTAGTTCTACCCATTTTTGTCATCTACATAATAGTGCCATGAATAGGTAAACTCAATGCTAATAATTCATTCTCCTCCCATTTTGAAGGAAATATCTTTTGTGTTTTCACAAAACACAAAAGCGTATTTTAAGAGTAATTTGTAGACTTTTACTCTTTGTTTTTCTGGGGTTCTTTTGACAGTGTGTTTTGGTGTCTAATAACTGATTGTTTTTACTATTTGTTTTAATGTTTTTGTTATGATAGCTGTTTTGGAGAGCTCCTTGACAGCTAAACCAGCATTTCCTAGTTCACTTTTGAGTAATCCAGTCCAGTATGGTTGTTTTTGTAATGTTTATGTTGTTATAGATGGAATAAATGAAATGAAATAAAATGATCTACACAATATTTAGTATACTTTTACATTTAATACAAGTTTAACAGAAAAATAAGACGTATATATTTTGATTAATCAATCTCCAATTTGATTATGTTCTGTATATACTATATAAAAAATATCGCTATTATAATGTTTCGGGTTACTGTACAGTAGAAACAAACACCAAATTCATTTCTAATTAACTTTACTCTGAAAAAATATTTTCATCTATTACTGTGATACCTCTAATTACAATCAACTTCTAAATCATAAATAAATGATGCCAGCAATGTACAAGGTACAGTATTTATTACATTTGGTAACTTTTACTGGTAATCATTAACTGCATAACAGTATTGTATATTGCACAACTATTGTTGCTTCCTCATTGTATTACTATTAAGGCAAGTATTTGTGCAGCAATGTAAAAATGCCTGTCTGAAATTTTTTGGTTGTCTCATATTACACATCAAGAATAACAATAAACTTTTTTTTAAAAAAACCTTGTTATTATTTCACAGACAATTTTATTGTATTTATTTTGAAAATGCGAGACTTTTAGCGGCCTAGCCTGAGCAGCTGGCTAGTTATAAATACAGCACTGCACAGTGGATAACGCCACTAGACCTTTGCTATAGCATTAGTAGACAACACGATCTTGCTAATTACTGTAATTACTGTATATGTAAGCATTGAAAAATGTTTTCAGACTTAGACTTGTTTTTAATATAAACATTTTGTGTTTTTCCCATTTTAAAATATCTGTGCTTGTTAGTAATTTAGCTTTATCGTTGATTTAATCCATGATGGTAACTACGTAGAGCGAAATGCTAGGCCTCTGAAAGTCCCCAACGTTATCGGAAATGTTCATTTCAAATTTCGCGAAAATGGACTACAGTATATCTTGTACATTATGCTGAATTTTGTAAATACAGATAATAGTTTAATCAACATACAGTACAGTAATACTCAATGGATACAAAGAATGAATGTTTGACCAAATCAATTGATACGAACAATGTTGTCATGAAAAAACAAACGAATGTCTGAATAAATTTACGAAAGAATCTTATTATCAGGTAGTGCAACAATATACCTCATCTTTAGTTTAAGTTTATGATAGCGTTTATGAATATCAGATATGCTTGCATGCAGTTAATATTCCATTGCATTATACATTATACTGTAATATCATATTATATGGATCTATCAAATGAATGATGTGCAAAAAGGCCACATTAGTTTTTCAATATACCTTTGATACTTTGATAATGGTATCGTGGTAATGCTTGGGACTTGTAAAGCACATAGTGCATGTTCTCTATGTGCTGTATGTACGCTTTGTACAGTATACTTGTACAGTGCTGTACTGCAGTTTGAATCTACACGTCACTGCTTGATTGATTATAAAAAAAATGACATACAAAGTAGATTAATTAATAAGTACATTAATATTATAATTAAATATGAGGTGTATTGCACCAAAGGAGTCTGGTATAGATTTACAGTCATGGTCATAGAGGATTTAAACTGTATTAAATCGCTTATAGAGGACTAAAATCAACAGCTTCTGACAATCAACATGTTATACAGTTGTGCTCATACCATCCTTGGTAAGGTGAGACTTATTTCATACGTTGCTTAGGGAATCCACCGACTGCAAATATTGAGGATTTCAAATAAAAATAAAATTGCCTTTAGGACAAATATTTTATAAAATTTCAGAAAAAAATTAAGGTTTTTTCTTTATTTTTATCACGCTTTCTGTTGCCTTGAAATCTCCAAAGATATGTATATTTCTTCCTAATTTATATAAATTTGAAGGACTTAAACCATCCTATTTCACATTCACCAATAAAATTTTATTTTTATTTTCTCCTGCGTCTGAATGTTTTTTGCAAAAGTATTTGCTAAATTAAAAAAAAAATTTATATTTTTATTCTGCCCTCCTCCGATGATCTTTAAAAAAAATAAGTATGCGAAACAAGGAATACAAAAGGTCTCGTTTAAGCACAAATTTTTGCTCAAAACTTCAATTAAAACATTTAATTGCTCATTAACAAAAATCATATTTTAGTTTTCAATTTCAAAACACAGAACTGAAACGTCTCAGTAATTGATCTTTTTACTACACACTGTCACTAATTTCATTATAAAAGGCAATTTAAAGGTCTATGGAAAGATTATTATATTTTACAACTTATGTGCTAAGTGGAAAATATTTACTGTATTTATTTGAATAAATGCCCCCTGGAATTAACACCCTCTTTAGAGCATCATTTGGAATAAACACCACCCCTCGAACAAATGCCCAAGGCATTTATTTTTTCCTTGAATAAACCCCCACCCAGAAAAAAAAAATTGATTTTCACTGTTTTACAGACATTTTACTGCAAAAATCCTTATTATCAGCCAGTAAGGGTCTATGCAAAAGACTATAAGAATGATATAATTTAACTTTATGTTAATTGATGGGGAAACCTTCTTTAATTAAAATTATATTATACTGTATATCATTCATTTAAATTGAATTTTTGAGGGGGTTTTCAAATTTATTTATTGGCAATGAATTTTTGTAAAATGTTAATATGTTAATCATGATTATTGCTGACCCAGGTCATGACATTTTTAAATGAGTAATTATGAACTGTTGCCAGCAATTTGGAGTGTCAACTCATGTTGCTATGGCAATAAATGTTAATTATGTATTAATAATACATAATGTTAATTGCTAAGTTAATAATACTGGTTCTTTTATTTAATCTTGCTTTAAACAATTTTTCTCTTCAAGGAGCAGTACTAAAGGGATATAATATAATGTTAATATAGTGGTGGTGGTGCAAAATAAATTAATCAAAAGCATTTATAATTTATTAGCCTGGCAATTTGCAAAATCTGTCTATTATCCTTGGGCTGATGTGTATATATTGAATTATCAAAGAACTCTGTACCAATGTTAAGCTTGAACATACTACTATACTGTAGTACAATATTCATTATAATTTAGAGTAAGGTAGCTTATTCTGGACGGTCACCATCCCAAGAAAAATTTTAGAATTATATTTACAGGTCAGTTTTTTTGCAGTGATGATGCCAATACCTGTACTTCCTATTACTCTGGTCACTGGATCAAAGCATGTGCCTCTAAATAGCTTGCTAAATAGAAGGCGTGCCGTGAACCAAGGAATAAAAATAGAACAAGAGAGCCATCTACTGTACGCTCATTGAGAGCGTGTAGCCCGTGTAGGAGGCCCGCTGTCGTTTTTATGTACTATTACCCAGTACAGCACCATGCACACTGGTATGACGATAACGAAAAATACGGAAATCTACTGCTCTTAACGTAAGTATTGCATCATGTGGAAAACAGATACACTTACAAACCATGCGCGGTGCAATACTGGGTAATAAACGACAGTGGGCGTCCTACACTAGGAGTGACGTATTTACAAACAGGACTACGCTCTCTTGCTCTATTTATGCTCTTTGCTATAACAAAAGCTTCCGGGAGAGTATTCTATAGAATATACACATATAATCAACACATCACTACTAGGTACACATTTATGCACTTGAGTGCAGACAAACCTATATAATGTAACTGACCTAAGGACACATAACATATAGGCAGGCTTGACCCCCTTATCATTCAATTGCAAACACACAGCATACAAAACTTTCAAAATATTTAATTCCATAAAGAGTACTCGTTTCAGCAAAACTGTGATAATAATTATAAAGTAGTTCATTAGTCAATAAAAAATTTAACTATGGCTCAACCACTTTGTATCCATGGGTGGTGTTACCGGTTCGTGTAGAACATGGCTTTCAAAAAAACCTCGGACGTAAAACCTAAGGTATTATGCAATGATGAGTTTCTATCAAGTTGCCCTGGACCCTCGAGTCACTCAACGCCTTAATTAAGAAATGGACTTTGGCACTGGTCCACTGCATTACAATTGTAATTTAAAAACAGAAAATTACTACCACTGTTAAACGAATAATGGTGCTATGATCATGCATGTGGCGGACGTATGTAACAAGGTAACAATCTACATTCTAGGCTAGTACTCAGTTGAAATAATTTAGTTC